CGTATGTTTTTAATGTCGTACATCTTCTGCCAACCGATCCTCAAACTGTTCTGTTTTGTTTTTGCACTGGTTCTGGTCGAGGTTGAGTATTCTTTGGGTCTTGCTCCACCTCCAATGCTACCGGAAAGCCAATCAGCACTTGCTTGCTGCATGCAAATACATTAGCAAAAGTCACTATAAATCAGTGATAAGGGGAGAGAGAAGGATAACCAACAGCCGCAAGCTAGGAATCACAGTGTTGCTGAATATTAACCCAGATTAATATACACTTTTTAAAATAAATTTACAAAATAAGCAGGTTCTCAAAAAGGTTTGTAGCTTGCAAGTGCAGAATTGGGTTCACTTGTTAGGATCTGAATACTCAATTGTATCACTGTCTCCATGGCTGTATCTCCATAACATTAGAATTGACTGCCCTTTTTGGATGGGATAGAGGCATAGGTTGCTTCCATTTGCTGATACAGAATGACCCGAGCCAACTTAGGGGTGTTGGCTGACCCTTGAGTTCAACTTGTCTATGACACTGTGTGGAGATACTGTAAAATGTTTATGGAGAAGTTGGGCTATAGGATTCACTCGTTGAAGTAGAACAGCTAGACATCTCTCTCCAAGGTTCACAGGTCCTAGGTCATCTACAGTGAAAGAAATTGACAGTGACTGCTAATGAGAACACTAGAGAGAGGGGATATGCTGGTTCTACAGTCTAAGTTAAAATAAAGAATTACTGTTTTTGTAAGAAAAAGGAAAAAATGGTGAATTCAGTGGGCCAGCAATTTTTTCCCTGCCAGTGTTCATGACAGTCAGTCGATCTTGATGATAGCATGTCAGCCCAGGTTATTTGGAGTCAACCATGAACTGCTTACTGGCTGGTTCCTACTGGCTCTAACTGCACAGATATGTGAAATGAGTGGCTACTTCACCATTTCAAGATATATATTGTAGACCTTATTTACAGGTCTACAATATATATTGGTAAAATGTGCATTTATTTATCACAATTAGTGAACTGACTGGTGATGGTTTTAAGTATTTATCACTGCCTCTCGGCACTGCCTGAAGGTTACCTCACTTAAACTGAAATGATCAAAAATGAATAATTAGCAGAACGCAGGCCTCTAAATAGCTCTAAATGAGTTAAACATTTTGCAACACAATAGTATGGTTTTTTTTTTACAAATGATTCCAGCATAATATTTAGATCTTGTAAAATGTTATTGGCTGTTCATCAGTAATTGTTAGCTCGTGCATTAAGATCTATTCATTTTAGAAAACAATGCTCTTAACCCCTTCCTTTCATGTTTCAGAGAATTCTTTGAAAAGGCTTATTATGAAACCACCGATTGTGGCCTTAAATGCAAACAAAAGCAGAAGAAAAATGACATCATTTACCCTGCTGGCAGTATCATTATTGGAAATAATGACCGACCTTCCCCATTTATGTTTCTTATAGAGAGAGCGAATAGCATTGTTCCTATTAATTTATGATGTATTAGTCATAAATATGTAGAGTATGCTTTGCCCCCTGCCAACCCCTCTCCCACACTGAGCTGTTAAGTTCATGAGATACACATTGTAGATTACGTTTGACTTGACGACTGTGCCATGGAAACCGCAGCAGCTCCTGTGGATGCTCAGATATACAATCTAAATCTCTAAATCCTCTTCTCCCTGGTGTTTACTTACGTGTATCGGTAGTTATGTCTGTCTGTCTTCATGTGCTTTAAGATTGTCTTAATCAGAGCTGAGAGATTTCATTTCCTTATGTCTTTCATATGGCCCAAAATCAGTCAATTATTTTGAAGCGCTGGCTGAGGCTTAGGATTAAGTGACTTAGAGGAAAAGCAGGCAGCTTCTTCTTCTCCTGCTTCCTCCCAGTCACAGAGTTGGCCATAAACAGTGGCACGTGTGCAGGCTGATTACTGTGGCGCAGGGGCAGATAAGCCAGAGGAACTATTATCCCAGAGTAAGCCACTGGACTTCAAATTACAGCCTCAGTAGCCTTAAACCTCCTTAGACTTTATTTTCCTTCTTAAGAAAGATTTAAAGGGCCCATATTATGGAAAACAGAATTTTCCTGACTCTTTTGAAATAAGTGTTTGATGTAGTATGTAAAAGACTGCGAAAGTTTCAAAAATGTACCACTCCCTCACCAGTGCATACAGTCTGCATATGGACAGCTGTGAAAACAGCACATTTTAAATTCATTGTTTAGTGACATCACAGAAGCCAAAACATTTACATATATCCACATATTCAGCAATGTAGCCACACCCGTTCATGCGGAAGGTGTAAAGATTGATTCAGCCCAGACTACAGACTGCTTTTTTTATTGAGGCACAACTTGTCATTCATAAGAGGTCATTTACATTATCAAGCACAGTAACAACAGAAAGGTTGGAATACGGACATGTAAAAAGGAATAACATCTGCTTTTGGTGCATAAAACCACATAAATGTCAGAAGTCGGGGATAGACACTGAAATTTAAGTAAACTAAACAACATGTGTAACCAGCTCCACCAATGGCAGGATGAATGAATGAATAAATAAATAAATAAATAAACAAACAAAAAAATAACACTGAGGATATGGGCCCTTTCAGCATTCACGATCAAAGGTGGAAAGAGAAACTGTGGAGTGCACATGTCGTCAGTGAGACCTGTGTACAGTGGTTGAAAAAGAACAGATGAAATGTGGATAGGGAGAAAGAGGGACTTGGGAAGCTGATGTATTAGTGGTTAGTCAGACTGCCAGGACAACAGCGCCTCTCTGTCTTTCATTAATGTCAACACTTTTAGCATAACCGCACTCCGAGGTTGCGTTAGGTCAGCAGGCAGTCACGGGCTTCAAATGCATTCCTGCAAGGACATATTTCAGCTCACCACCAGCAAGCTCAGGGGAACATCCCGATGATAATGCAAGGTCGATATGAAAGCTTTGGCAGGAAGCCAGCATATGTATTGATTTTAGCCTTTATGCTTGTAGACTATTAATACCATAAAACACTCATAAAAATAGTTTCATAAAAAAACAAAATCTAGCTTTAAAACAAATATTGCTTAGTGATGTATTTGTGTTATATCTTGGAGATTAAAGTGGCAGATGCTATCTCCCTTATTCCTTATGTCTCTGTTACCATTACCCTCTCTCACTCTACAGTCTGGCTCCCTTCCTACGTCTCTCATGATACATCTTTACTAACTTAGCCATTTTTTGTGCACATGGTGCTAGATGTACTGAGACTTTTAGGGTCCGGTTGCAAGCACAAAAAGAACACTTTCTGTCCAAAAAAGTATGCTTGCTTTGTACAGGGATGGCCCAGTCCAGTATATTGCCCCCAGTGTGTTTAGAATACTTTAACATTGCATATCGGCTTATACCGATTTGATCCAATATTTGTTTCCATAGGTAATACAGCCACATAATTTAGGTGATTTAGGCTGACACTCTGGCACTACAGATATTAAAGGTTTTTCATGTTCCCCTGCAGATGTTTAGATCACTTTGTTAACTTCTAGAAACATACTTCACTGCTGCAGGTTGTAGATAATGCCTATTTGTATTACCTTTATGACAGCATCCTAAGCAGAACATGAAAAACAAAAACAAAAGGTCAGAACTGGACTGGGCTTAATATATACCTGATCCATGTAAATATGCCTGAGTCAATTCCAATTCTGATGTTTTGGATTGGATTGACATCTCTAGTTATATATATATATAACTGGCATATAAGACAATTTATGCGCCATGCAGGTATTTGAATTTAAAGCTCCAGCTTTGGTCAAAAGATGTACCTGGGAGATCTATCCCATTCCTAGCAGGGCAGATGATGTCACTACTTTTACTACAAAAGCTAAAATTGGTTGTGTCAAATGTTGCATCAAGTCATCACAGGTAAGACATAAATGGTTCATAAACATTTTCCAGGCCCACTATGGCTGTACGTTTTAACCAAGGATGCTTTGATTTAAATTTTACCTTTCCTGTGTTGTTTTTTTCTCAGCTGTCTGATCTAAACTTGTCTCAGTTATGCCTGTTGCAAGTGGATGCATGCTTTAAAGTGAAGGGTGTTGGAATGTTGCTTGAGTTTATATGAATCCTGTATTCTCGTTGATGTGTACCCACTGTCGCTATTGTTTTGTATCACAAGGGTGGAAGTATTGGATCAGGTAGGATAATTAGATGGAAAAGAACAGCAATAGTCTGCAATAGGCTGTAGCTTCATGTTAAGAGGTTGTGGGATAGTGTGTGTTTGGTTGTGGGATAGTGTGTTTGGAAAATGTATCTTAAGAGGGCTACCCACTTTTTCAGAGGCATACCCAAAGATTCATTTCTACCTATACCACTGGCACAATGTACACAGGAAAAAATGCAATTCTCTTCCTCATACTTCATGTAAAAAATAGATATATTAAAAATGCCTTTTTCTTTAATTTCCTTAAGTCTTAGTTGCTAATTTTGCGTGATATTTCTCTTTAAACTAGATGTATATATCCATTAGTATGTCAAAATCTTGTTAATGTTCCATGTTGTTCCTTTTAAAGGGATTTTAGAATTTATTTTTTGGTGGAAAAGAACCTCATTTATTAACATTGTTCAACTTGCATTTCTTTTTTCTTTGTACGGCTCCACTATTTCACTGAGCCATTAGCACCCTGCACTTCATAAACATAGTGCAATTAGCAGACGGCCCAGTGTGCAGTTTGTATCATTAGCTACAGCCTTAGTAGTTGAATGTTCAGCAGCATTGCAAGGGCCACATCAAAGCACATTCTGTGCTACACCTTCTCACATACAGACATCTGGTCTTTTTTTTCCTTTTTCCTAGATTTGTCTCATTAAAGTCTTTGTGGAGTTAAATAGTCAGTTGCTTTCATAGTTGACAGTGTAATGTGCAGTGATCCTGCCTCTACAGCATTGTGTTCTATGTCAAATATTACCTCTATCCTCACTTGATTGTTCAGAAACACCATCTTTATTTGCTAAACTGGGCCTTACCTTGCCTACATACTGTGGGTCAGATCCCATGTACTCCTCCAGCACAAAGAACTGGTTCCATACCCATCCTCTCTTGACTCTCTGGAAGCCTCCAGACCCTCCGCTGCGGCCTGCTGTGGACATGCCGGCCGGGCTACGGGGCCAGTCGTGCCACGGCCTGTTGTGGGGCTGAGCTAGGGGCAGTGTGTGGAGAGGAGCTGGGGAGCTCTGCACGAAGAGAAAGCACAGGAACAGCAGCAGACAGTTCCCCTTCAGCATTGGGCGGTTTGGAACGGCGCCGTTTCAGTCAAAGTCAAAGTCCAAGTGCAGAAAAGGGTGGAAGACAAACACCAGAGAGCCAGAGCCAGGGCACAAGGGGACAGGCTGGATACTGAGGTTTAGGAGAGGGACCAGGAGAGGAGAGGGTGAAGGAGGCACCAGGGAAGGGGCCACTTAAAGCCTGGTGCTCCTCAACTCCTCTTTCTAGAGGTACTGAGCCAGTCAGCCAGGTAGTGAAATCATCACCTGAAATAAAGCACAAAGGCAGAAATACATTTACTGTACTTTACTGTACACAGTTCACACCAATTAACATCTTTTTTTTTTTTTTGTAAACATGCCTGGTTTAGCCAAATGGCTAATTATCATCTGCTTATCTGTTGTCACAGGTGGGCTGATGTTTAAAAATATGAATGGTATTTTTTTAGTTGATGTAGAGCTGTATGAAAGTTTTGTAGCACAAATAAGAACAATTTGTCATTTTAACTTTGGAGAAAAAAATAAACAGAAGCAGCATGCAAAAGATAATATTAATTTTGTGACATATACTGAATATTATTTTTCTATACAATAATTCAGACACAAGAGAGTGTTATTAGCTCTCACATAGCATGTATGTGCATCATTAAAAGACAAAAAACCCATGCATAAACCCACACCAGCAGGATTTCATGTATGGTCGCTGTCACAGATTTCAAAACAGAAAGCAAAATAGTGTATTACCTACATTACCTAACTACCTAAAGTGTTGCTTCTTATGTGAGTTTTAACTTGATCAGTTTCTTTTATAAAGTGGTATAAGCTAAAGATTCTAAAGGAAGTAAGCACAGCATGGGGCGTCTCAGCCACTAAATCCATAGATGTCTTTTAGCTGACTCATTTCATTCAGCAGGCTAGCAGTAAAAGTCCAAATCATTGGCTTTACATATGACATTGCAACCCCAAACTGTACAACATTAGTGTATTTTGTACATCACAAGTCCCTTTGTTTACAGACATGAGGAATTGTTTTCTAGTGTATGAATTACCTGATGGACTACAACTACACTAGAAATTAACCTGCATCACAGTTTGCATGACTACACTGAGAAGATGGTCTGAGCAGTGGAAAAATATTATGTAGTGAAAGTAGTTCACAAATTACATAGCATGTATTGTATACAATTATGCATTGACTACAATTACTATGACAACTTGGACTTATTTTTTACTATATTTGTGCATTAAACATTACTGTCTTTTGCATGAAAATGACTGATATTTTGGTAATCACATGGGATTCATTTCTCATAGCACAAGCAGCATTATCGTTGCTTTGTACAGCCCTGTAATGCATTGATTTATATTGAGTAGAGTACTGAGTATATGGATCTGTTGAAATGCACCTTGAGCCAAAGATGTAGCTGTTCCTGGCTTGTTAGCTTACGTACCACTGTAACAGTAAGCCCTCTGAAAGTATATGTCCATTCCTGGAATACTTTTTAAAGAGCTCCCAGAATGGCAGGCAAGGGATAGTTACAGCTCTGGTGTGATTCACAGTCACAGAAAGCACTAGTCGGAGTGGTTATTTTCAGCCCTACCCTTGCACTATGAAAGCCATATAAAGAGAAGAATACTTTGTCATCCTTCAACCTCTGAGAAGTTCAAGAGATGTAAATACTAATTGTATGGCTATAAGCTGCTGGAAATAGAACATTTCAACACATTTGCCATTCGCATTCAGTCAGTGTCAGTACGCTCAGGCACTTTTGACGCGATGATATAGATGATGTGATGTCAGATATGTATAATGATCGCATCAGCTCTGAAATCACCTCTCTCCTTTAGTAGACGATAGCACCTCCATTAAAATCAGATGCAGTTTAAGTCACCGGCTGTCATGGACACTAGCTTGCAGCTAAAGGATTGATCCATCAGGCCTCTAATCCAGCTATCGAATAGCTGGGCATCACTGGCTGTGAAATATTTTCCAGAGACGTGGTAGGTCCCTCAGTGGCAATGGGGAGATTTAATCAGACAGGCCCTATTTCCCACAAACCACGTCCCCCTGAAATAATGAATATAAATCATTGCTTGTCAAATCACGTCTGCATCACATCAATTACATGTTTTTGGTCCTTTAAAACAAAAACAACAAATAAAGCCTAGGCCTCGTCAAACTGGGCCTAGTCTGCTTAAAGCTGAGTGCAGCATGCATTTAGATTTAGAAAATGCCTGACCATGACAAAAAAAGAAAGCATAACTTATATATAGCACTTGTAGACATAGATGACCACTGCATTTCCATTTCCGCTGTCAAAAAAGAATGTTAGATAATGGAGGAAATGCTGTAACATTGAAAAGATCTGTACAAACCAGGCACAAGCCAGAGACCACCCTTCATTTGTTTAACATTCAGTCTAAACGGCCATTAAGTACAAGTTATTTTTTTTTTGAAGATATTTCTGAGTAGATTATACAGAAGATTGAATAGGTGAAAGATATAGGAGTTTTTAAAAGTGGAGTTCAAAAAATGAGTGAAAGATATAGAGAAAAATGGAACTCTTAAAAACCACGCAAAGCCTGGTAGACCACCAAAACTGCCACCATGAGATAAATAGTCCCTAAAGCTGTGTTCTTCTCTGTCTGTTTTCTTTTCTTCCTGTTGCCAAATGCGAGGTAATTAAATAATGAAGGGTGGTCTCTGACATTTGCACAGTATGTAAATAGCTGTACAAAATGGTGCATTGCAATGTTTGTTTCTCCCAGCACAAACGTTAATGTTTTATTTACAGTGTAGTTGCCGCTGAGTCATTTGCCCTAATTTCCATAACTATTTATTTCCAAATGTAGAGCCAGACCAAATATTCTTCAGGCTTTTGATGCAGCATTGTAGCGACTCGACTGTAGATCACAGGAAGTCTGTGATCAGCACCGTATCACTTCCCCAAATCCGATTAGTGAGTCTCAGTGCTGTTCTGAGCATTTCCAGCCTCTGAAAGGTGCTGTTCTCACACCTCCATCCTTGTCCAGATGCCAACCCAATATTTCTCTGATATGCCTCAGTGCTCCCCACTCCTCCCACGTGGTTCATTGGCTGCAGGATTGATCGTTGGCGCAGCGCGTCCGGGTCAATGTGCTTATCAGGTGGCCTGTGCCGAAACCCCACCTGCTACAGCATGGTGCTGGCTTTGGCAGCATTCGAGCACATTGAGAGCAAATACTATGATGGGTTTTGCCAGGAGACTCTGATGGAGTACAATAGCTGGAGACTTTGGCACCCAATGAGTGGCCTGAGGATGCCCAGATGCAGTAGCTCTCCAAAGCATGGCAACGTCTATAGCCCTGCCTGGAGAGAGGCATCCATTAGAAGTTCAGCTGACTTCTGATACCTGAAGGTATCAGCTAAAAATACCCTGTTTCAAAGAGCCAAGCAATATCAAAGAGCTGCTTCAAGAACGTTAAAGTAGGGGGAGAGATCAGAAGCTTAATTTGTGAAAGAAGAAATAAACTGTGGATAGCTGAGATTACATTATGCACTTGAGTATAAGTTATAAACCCTGTCCAATATATCCTGATTCTTAATATAAGTAGTCTATCGAAGATAAACTTACATGTATTTGTTTATGGCCTACATAATTGAATATGACAAAAGATCTATTTACCACCATAACCACAGTGGGGTAAGCTCCCAGAACCAAGTAATAATAATAGAGCAATGAAACCAATGCCTGTGTTTATTCACAAAGCAAAAGACAAAAGCTTGATTTCACTGAGCAGCTTTATCAAAAAAGAGAGAGAGAGAGTGAGAGAGAGAAAAAGAGATCAGCAATAACAATGTTTTCTCCCTGAATCTCATTCAATTGTTATTTTCAGTTTTTTCAATATATCTTGTCAAGACAATGGAGCACAAAGCTGTTGTGGTTCGATTTGTTTGCAGTGAACCAAATTCATATTCAGTTACATCTAAATGTGAAAATTGACAAACGTAACCCCTGTCTCTGACTATAATGGTACGTTCCATTGAATTGGGTGATGAAAGTGAAAGCTCATATTTTCAGGGTCTATCCAGCGATATTTTGGGGTGGAGGGGTATGTCAGCAATTTTCAGGCCCACTTCTGTTCACTATAGATTGGGATGACCTAGAGTCAAACTCATCTCGCTCACCCAAAGCCGGTGAAATGCAGATCTTATGACCACTGCTGTCCATTCAGTGATGCTGCGATAATTCTAGCATGTTTTGTGGAGTTCAATTAAAGAAAGGACTTGACTGCTCCATGAATGTGAAAGTTCAGTGTAGGGTTGTCTAAGTGGTGACCAACACAAATTAGTTTCTGAGTTCCACAACTGATCATGAAGCTCCATGATACTTTAAACTGCAGGAAAATCAATGTGAAAGAGGAGAAAAGACTGCCTTTCAAGTCGATTCGGTGCCGGTGAAGTGGATAAATTGTTAGAGCACCCCACACTGCCAGCCTGCATTATTCTCTAAGAATCTGCATTACTGAGTGCCTCTGACACATCTGGACATTTAGGTTAATTAAGACTTGATGATTGATCTTGTTAAGCAATTACAGGACCGGATTAGAGCAAGTTCCTGAAATGACTTGTGTTTCTGGTGGATGTCTGTTAGATGATTTGCATTAATCAGCAGTGGTGGACCAGGACGAATTGCTGGGCCTAAGAGTGGCAGTCTGTGAAGAACTGTTTCAGACAGAAAGATTGATCCGGTCAGAATAATTCTCTCTCCTCTGCTGTTCTCGCTGATTTGCTCAATGTCAAACTGAAATACCGCAATTACAATGTTTACCCCTTGATTTTTGTGGAGGCTTGATTTGACAGTCCTTATCATGCCAGTAAAACTGTGAAGTGCATGAGTGCTAATTTGAGGCCTCTTTTGGTGATGAGGGCCCATCAGTAGTAGCTGTTTGTCAAATTGTTGTTTCTATGAGGTGGACTACTTCAAGCAGGCAAGACTCAAGTAGCAGGTATTCTTTTGTAAAAACAGGAGGCCAAATTCTGACCTATGAATTCTTTCTCTGCAAGATTCTCATTGTATTCCAGAGAAAGCTTTCTGTGACGCCCCTACACTACAAATGGACAGTTATTTTTGGTCTGTGTACCAGAATCCTATTTAACCAGGCGTGAATCAACATAAAGCTGCAGTCACACTAGATGCTGTCAGTTTGCCTCACCTGCCGTGACTGTGGCTGGACCAGAAGATTGGCGATGAAAAAATATCCTCCAATTTGGTGCAGTTAGCAAA